GTATTTACATATCTATATTTATATGAGTAATGGGGAACCTGATGTGAAGTGAATTTATGAACACTAACAATCTAAACATTCCTTGTTTGTAATGCTTAGTGACCTATTGTGTTAGTAATACTAATGCGTGTTACTGTAAGCTCTAACAAACCAAACAGTAGCCAATATGGACGATGCTTGTTGCGAAGCTGAAGATGCGTAAAATATATACAAATGTGTTTGAACTATCTGTGGATGATATTGGCGCTGGTGATCGTATGAGCGGAGAGGAGAGACAGAAGTTTTATTTCTTCTCAACTACGGTCTTGGTCTTCCATAGGTGTATATCAACTACCTCGCTGGATCAGTATCCCTTGCATTTCATGTATGTTTACTTGGGTCACGGATCTCTCGTATTCTTCTGTAATTATCCATGGTGTCCAGGGCATCAACTTGGTAAGTCTTGCCATATCGATATGTAGAATGTGTGAATAGGATATCGAGCGATGATTATCTTCTAATTATTCATGACAAGTTGTTAGGCTATGTTGCCCACTCTTAAACTCTATGTGCGGAAAGGCACAATATCTCACCTTTTTGTTTCTCGAGTGGTTTTTCTCCTTTCTTACCGAGGCTTCCAGTTCAACTAAAGGTCAGAGTGAACAAACTTGAGGTCCTGACTGTTCTCAAGTCTCTCACGGATCCTTACACAGTCCTTTGCAGTCTTATCTCACGTAGTCCCGCCACACCCACCTTTTCAGCACGTGCAAAAGGAAGGGCTCGTTGCGTCTCAAAGTTCTGTAGCCCCCGTAGGTTGCGTAGTCTGGGTAGTACGTGTGATAGTCGATGCGGGTGTTGTTGGAAGGCAACTCCTCGGGGTCGCCTTTGTCATCGAGGCTGACCAGCACGGCCAGGCCCAGTTGCCGCATGGACATGATAAAGGCGGAAATGATGACGACCCCAACGGCGTAGCGAAAAAGACCCTCACCTGTGTGGGGGGAGGAACCTTCTCTCAGACTATGTTCTCGGCGAAGGGGGAGAGACGTTAATGATGCTACTCTAACAACACCTAAACCGGCCAAGGGTGCGAAGCGGACAAGCTACAGTGCAAAGACGTTTCGAAGGGATAGGGAAGAACGTCGGTGCGTCTACTAGGCGACTACGGAACACAAGCATCGGCAGAGGTGCAGCGGGGTTAGTTTCTCGAGCTGGGATGAAGACGCAGGTGCTTTAGCAGGTCGTGATTTTTAGTATTTATGGGTGTTTAGGGTTTGTCATGATATTTGTGAAAATCACGGTGGTGGTGATACAGATCAACCAGGTACCGGTGGAGGTAATAATGGGTAATAAAGGCGAGAGTCCTTGGTGATAAAAGGCTGAAAAAATATTTTCTGTCTTTTTTCAGTTTTGTTTATTTTAAAAAATCGTATATAGTTACTATTTATGATAGTGCTGGCGCATCTTCTATGTGTTATTCCAGTTTGTTCATCTGTCTGGGGGGACTTTTCTAATATGAGAAAAAATATAATCGTTTTCGGTTTGTCTGACCAGCGTCTTTCTGTGAGGCTTAAATCAGGCTATTTCTCGAAAGGAAGTAGGTCCAACGACAGGACAATGACATCCTACTTCATGTGTAAACTGTGGCATTCAGGGCACAGTGTGATCGTAGACGCGGCAACCGACTTGCGACTCTCCTCCTTGGTATATTTACAGGGTGGGCAGCGGCAGGTCGCGGGTTTCCCAACAAGTGGAAGGGACACCTTTGCCCCAGTTGCTCTGAACCCTCACAGGCTCTCTCAAAGCTCAGTCCTTCAGCATTCCAGTGAGGCAAGCAGCACCCGTAGGACATGCACACGCGCCACCCACCTGTTGAGGACCCGAATAAGGAGGTAATCGGAGTCTCGTTTGGCGCGGTACGTTGAGTCCTGGCGGCTGTTCGTAGGGTACCCTAAGTAACCATAGGGGTTCGAGTCGTCTTCCTTCCGCTCTATCGCTCCCGAGGTCTTCAGCCAAATCAGGAGCTCCCTCACCAGCAGAAGGATGCCGACAAAGAAGACGACGACGATGGGGAGCTGAGTGAATAGCGCCAATTGCGTGCCTGTACGGGAGGAGGAACCATCGTCTCAGACAAGTTCCTCCGAATGAAACTCACCTGTGCAACACACGTCCGAGGATACTCGAAACGCCCTCGCCCAGAGCTCGCGGCGTTTCGGTATAGGGGGCGAAGAGGAGCAACAGAATGTAGAGAGAACCACCGAGTAGGAGTCCTCCCGTGAACAGCTGCACCACCAAAGTCCTCAGGGCGACTGTAGGGGGTTGCGGTCCGGGGTAAGCGGAAAGGCATCGAGAGTCTATCTACTGTAAAACTACTTCTCTTTCTCCTTTTACTGAAAGGTCCTGTACTTCCGAATCCCTAGTAAGGTATTCAGGCCAAAGGAATTCAGGAGAATGATTGATGAGGATGATATGGGTGCTGCTGGGTAGTGGGTGAGGCGGTTGTTGGCCAAGGATGTCTAACCCAAGCGAAATAATTAGATGAGAGGCATATCAACATGCAAAATATACACAGAAAGATATTTAAACTGTAATCAAAACATATTGTGAAAATATTGGCGACCTGTGTCAGTATAAAAAAGTATGCTCAGTACAAGAAAAAATGGTTTAATGACGCGTAAAGAATTCGTCCATGTTTTCACAAAATGTAATTATGAAATTCTTTGGCAAACTGAATTATGTAAAAAGTAATGGTACTGAATATTTCACTATGATAATAGTAATATCCTAACTGTTCAGAATTGGTTTATCAAACAAAAATCAATGAAAAAAGGTTATTCAATGGTAGCATTATTAGATGTCTGTCAATGTAAATCATTCTAGTAGAAAAAGAAAAAAAGAAATTAATAAGAACGGAATCATTCAACACCGAGAAGAAAATATATATGATTAATTTCACGGATATAGTAAATATATGAATAAATAGCTATGCTAGGAAAGACAAAGAGAAAAAATAAAATTTATCACCGGACTACGGGGAGAAGAAATGAAACACATACGAAGGGAAATAAACAAGGTAATAAAAAACTACAGATATAAAACAACACGAAAAAGAACAGAAAAAAAGAAGACGGACAAATTAAAACCAACAAACAAAGACATAGTTGAAAGAAGAGAAAAAAGACAAAAAGAAAAAGAGAAAAAGCGATTGGAAACTTTGACGAAAAAAGTATTGATTATCTTTACCTGCATCAGCCACTGTCAGAATAGTCTTCTCACTCTCCACCATGTTTGAGTAGTCGAGTTCCTCCTCAGCTCTGACACAGGTCGCGCAGAGGAACACCAGCACTAACAGGTTCCTGAGTCTCGTCGCCATGTTTGCTGCTGTTGGGGCGATGGAACGGAAGGTGGGGTTTAGTGGGTGGGGTTTGGGGTCGATGTTGGGGAGGCTGGAGGAAGAAGGAAAGGGGATTTTGGGGGAGGTTGGAGGAAGGAAAGGAAAGGGGATTTTGAGGGAGGTTGGAGGAGAAAGGAAAAGGGATTTGGAGGTAGGTTGGAGGAGAAATGAAAAAGGGTGTTGGGAGAGGGTGAAGGAGAAAAGAGTTGGGGTTTTGGGGAGATAGAAGAAAGATGAATCATGATGTCAGGTAGATGGACGGAGTCGTATTATGTGGAAATTGTGGAAATCAAAGAATAAATGAACCAGGACGTTGTAGGGAGGAAGAAGATGGGGGGGGGATCCAAATCGTTGGAATGATGGTTTAAAATGATCAGGATGTTGGGGAGAAGGAAGGATTTTTTTAAGCTACAAAAAGGAGAGTTTAGGCCTAAAAGTAGCTGCTGAATGCCAATAAGACGAATAAGATAATCGCGGAGTCCTTATTGCTGCCGTCATAGAGATGGAATTACAGTACTGGCGATGTTAAGGCGTTGAATCAGCTGTTATCGAGATAAATTAGGACTTTTTAGGAGTAATTGACTTTTGGATTACAAGGAGAAGCGAGGAAAAAGGACCTCGATTGAAAGGGGGGATTGAATTAGATGGGTGAGATGACAATAGAGACGACTGTGGTTGATGGTGATGAAGAATAAGTCACAATATAAAGGTGCTGTCACACTAGCTCTTTTACCGTAAATTTTTTGACAATTTTCTGAAATTGTGTCCATTTTTGAGCGAATTGTCGATTTTCCAGTCGATAATGATCGTTTCCGTCTGAAAACCTTAACGTCAACTTTTTCAGCCAAGCATAGTCAAATCAAGAGTTATGTTCGAGAATGTTTGTATTTATGTTAAATAAAATTGTCAAAAAATTGACGGAAAAAGTGCTAGTGTGACAGCACCTTAAGGGATCAAATACTGAGAAGAGGAGCTAGGTCGTTTGGCTGATTACGAAAACAGTCCTTACCATATTGTGGGTAACTGACCGACGAACGGAATGAATAATGGATGATTTGCGTAAAAGCTGGGACAGGTATTGGTTCTTGTACTAAACAAGAACAGACAATGTAAGTAAGTAAAGTAAGTAAAGTAAGTAAAAGTAAGGAACAGACAATGACTTATGGACGGAGATGAAATTACTAAGGGAATATTTAAAAAAATCATGGGCTGTTGACCGGGAAAATTACTTTTCAGGGAACAGGAGTACGGTAGAGGGTATGTAAATGAGAGTAAATGAGATTTAAATTCTAAACTTTAAGAACACCCAGAGAGGATTAATATGCAAATTGATTTGAGAATACCCTGAAGACCTGTCGAGAGGTGAATGATAATTGGTCAAATGGCTAACTGACAGGAATTAAATGGAGGACTCATCGAGAATTGATATAACTGGCGATAATTCGTTAATTATAAGGCAGTTACGTTGAAAATGATAAGTCTGGCTGATCTTGATTTGTTTCCTTTTAGGGGGGCGGAGGGGGGGTAAGAAAAATGGAAACAAGTAGTGGAATTAAACGGACGTGGAGAACAGAAATGCAAGTAATTAAGAGATGAAGGCCGAACAACGGGCAACCAAATAACGCAATTC